TTTTTCTAAATTAAAAAAAGCAGAACATTTGAAACATTTCACTGGGTTATGAACTCAGCATCATTGTAAATCACGTGAGCTTGGTCTGTGTCCACAGAACTACATTGTTCTGAAACCAGTAGGATTAGTCTGGCTATTATTTAATGAGCGTATTGGAATCTTGAATGTTGCCTTTAATCCAACAAGGAGATTGTCCACAAAAAGTGTAGAGAAAAAGCTGAGGGTGCAGAATGCCAAACCTTTACAGGTACACAAATGGGGATATTGAGCATAGAAAGTATAAGACATGGAGAATATATCAGGATATTTCACTATTTTAAGAGTTCCATATGGAAAAGGGACTACATTTATTTTTTGTGTGCCCAGGAGGTAGATATAGGTTTGATGGGGGAGATTTCTAGATTAGGAAATCAGCCATAAGAATACATTTAAAGAACTAGAGGCCCTACCATGTTGAATTACTTGCTTTTGGAAAATAAAAATCAGCATTTCAACAAGCTTCAGCCATGATAAGCACCAAGGATTCCACCACTGTCCTCCTAAGATTCTCTTCAGCTAAAAAGACAGTTTTCAACTTTTACTCTGATCCAGGCTGGATCCATATTCATCTAGAAGTCCATGTCTCTGAAACTATTTTGGAACAGTGGTACAGATGAGGGCACCTCACACAAGAATGAAAAAAAAAAAAAAAAATTCTATTTCTGAGAAAGACCTCCAGTGGATACCTACAGGACCGCTCTTCTTTCATTCCACTTACCAGTCATCTGAAAATTCCATCTCATCATCTTTTTCATTTCACCCATCCCACATTCATTGACTGCCTGCTCTGTGACAGCCCTGTGTCTATGCTGGTGATACAAGAACCTGATGTGTCATAAATAATTAGTTCACCCATCCATTCTTTGCTTCAAGTGTTTGAGAGCCTTTGGTGTAACAGGCACAGAGACAAGCGGAGACAACCAACCATAAGCTCTATCCCAAGACACTCTATTTACAGGGAAAGAGAGCATAACAAGTGTTATAGCAGGAGCCAAAAAAGAGAACCAAGATATTACAGAGAAAGGGCAGTGGGGGTGATGATAGGATTCCTAGAAGTGGTGGGCTTACAGATGAGTCATGATATAAAAACAAAGAAATAAAAAAAGAAAAGCATTTTAGACAGGTGAGGTGCAAACACAGATATTAAGCAGAGTGATATACTTAGCTGCTAATTTTAAAAACCAACATTCTGCTGGCAATAGCGCAGTGGCTAAATGATATGATTATGACAAGATAAATTCTTTGGAGCCTGTTGTAATGATTAAAGGATATTTGGGGCCTAAACCTGAGAAAGAGATCTCTGCTGGAAACAGGCACATGTGGGAGTTAATTGGGTTGGTGGTTGAAGCCACGAACACAGGTGGCTATAGCATCTTTTCAAAGAAACTTAAACATGGAGATCATGAAAACATAGCTAAAAGAAGGTTCAATTAGGTTAGATTTGATACGGCAAAACAGTCAGGGGACAGGAGGTATTGAAAATGTTAGAGCGAGTAAATGATTGATGGTATGATGGGTCAGAAAAGGGAGGGGGCCCAGAGCTGATGGAGAGGGCCAAATTTTTTACTGAGATGCAGAGTATGGAGGTGTGGATGGGTGTGAGAGCAGAAACTTTTGTAAGAGGCAGGAAATTAAGGAAGTCTCTGCTTGATTGCCTCTAAATGTTTTCATTTGTCCATTCACTCACTCATAAAAAATTGTCTGTCTTTTCTTTATACATTTTCCAAGCCTCACTAAAATTCCATGAATCACGTAATGTAGTAGCTGAGACATCAGTTTTAGGGTCAGATGAAGCTTAATGGCTTCGTCTACTTACTATCTATGCCAAAGACACTAAGAAATCACACTTCACACACCATCTTCATCATGTGGAAATCTCATATTTTTGTCCAGGCAAACATCAGCTGCAAGTTTGGAAGTCTGAATGACTCCCAACTTCTGATCTGCTGGCTAAAACCCTAGGGGTTCCCTCTAGCCCTATGAGAATACCAACTTCAAGATTGAGTTCCCTAGCCCCCTAAATTATCAGCCTCATTTTGGCTCAATAAGTCACTGGAATGACTCACATATTTCACAAAAAAATCATCCTTATGATAAAAGCTTGAATATAACCAAAAAGAATACAAATGAAAAAATGCATAGGGCGAGGTCTGGGAGGGTCTCAGTGTAGAGCAGTCATGTTTCCAGGACATGCTACCCTCCACATGGATAGATGTTTCTAACCAACTGGGAAGCTCCCTTAAGCTTTCAACGTTGGTGCTCTTATTGACCAGTCCTGCATGAAAGCTCAATTATGCCTCAAGAGGTTAGCATCAGGCCATCAGTGGTCTCTCTAATCTTACCTGCCCTCACTCACAATCCTCAGCTGCAGTCCAACTCTCAGGAACCACGAACGAAAGCAAAATTACTTTCTGTAAGTGGTTTATCACCTCAAACTTAGCAATTTTGAAACTACGCATATTTTAATATTCTGCAAATAACGTATTCTTGATGAGAGACAAGAGTAACACGTAAAGAAAAAACTAAAATTCTGTGGCGTTGGACTTGAATCAGAAGTATGAGTATAATCTTGAGATATTTAAAAATACACAGATATGTACGGAAATAGATACAAATCTGTCTTTGTAAACAGGTATACATCTCAACATCCAAAATACGTTCAGGGAAATAAGATGTTATGTGACTTGGATGCTGTTTGGACACCACATTACATACAGGAAAAAAGTGTGCAGGATGGTCACCAGTTGGGCTCAGGACCTGTGCCACTGCTGCCCCAAGGGACTGCACAAAACCTTTGACTCCACCGTCACTGCTCCTTTGTGGTCGATGCCCAATCTCCGAGTCGCACCTGACCCCCATATATGCACAAACTCGACCTAAACACATACTTAGAAAGGAACTCCTTCATAATCTGTGGACTGCCTACGCTATCCTACATGATTAAATAAAAACTAAGTATGGAAAGCTATTTCTTGCAGCATTCCAATTAATAAACATAGAAAAAAATGACTAGAGCAGAAAATGCCATTTGGAAACACCACAGTAGTAATAACAGGTAATAATTACAAATGATACTAAACTCAGTAGGCCAGAGCACAATGAAATAGGATATTTGCAATCTCAAAGTATCACTATATGAAAATTACTAATTATAAAAGATAGTTTACAATAGAAAAGAATAGTAACGAATGTTTTAAATATAAAAACAAAACTCTTAACCAAATACAAGATGAACGTATTTAATTGTCTACAAAATAACATCAATAATTAACATTAAAAAACAGAAAACATTTGCTCAAGGCAATTCCCTGCAGCCTTGTTTGTAACAGCAAAGACTCTGAGAAAGATGAAGTTTAACTTGGACTGAGAAAGTAACAAACACTGATGACGACAACCCCAAAGGCACAAATTAGCTTCAATGATCCCTTCTAAGTTTGGACTCATCTTTTACTAAGAAACTTTATTCGTACACTCAGAAATTTCCTATTTGAAATCATCACAGTAAGGCTGAAACATCCCACTTTTGACATAATAGTCGTCGAATCACTTTGCATTCTTATGGGTGAAGTGAGGTATGAGGAACAACTAAAGGCTTTCCACATTGCTTACGTTCATAAGGCCTCTCTCCACTGTGAGTTCCTATATGTTTAGTGAGGTGTGAGGTCTGTTACATGTGTTGGGAAGAGAATGACTATAGAGTTTCTCACACTCTCACATTCATAAGGTTTCTATGTATTCTTTCATGCATGGTGAGGGCTGAGGAATAACTAAAGGCTTTCCCACATTCTTTACATTCATCAAGGCCTCACTCCATCATGACTTCTTATATTAGTGAAGGATAAGGAACTAAAGGCTTTTCCATGCTGCGTACATTCATAAGATGTCTCTCCACTGTGAGTTCTTGTGTTTCCTGAGGTATGACTAAAGGCTTTCCCACATTCTTTACATTCATCAAGGCCTCACTCCATCATGACTTCTTATATTAGTGAAGGATAAGGAACTAAAGGCTTTTCCACGCTGCGTACATTCATAAGATGTCTCTCCACTGTGAGTTCTTGTGTTTCCTGAGGTATGACTAAAGGCTTTCCCACATTCCTTACATTCACAAGGCTTTAAACCACTGTGAGGTGTGAGGCCTGACTAAAGGACTTCCCATACTCTTTACATTCGTAAGGTTTCTCTCCACTGTGAGTTCTTTTATGCGTAGTAAGGGCTACAGAACTAAAGGCTTTCCCATATGCCGTAAATTCATAAGATTTCTCTCTACTTTGAGTTTTTATATGTGTAGTGAAGGATGAGGAATGAGAGGCTTTCCCACAATCTTTACATTCATAAGATTTCCCTCCACTCTGAGTTTTTATATGTTTTGTAAGGAAAGAGATATGACTAAAGTCCTTCCCACATTCCTTACGTTCATAAGGTTTCTCTCCACTCTGAGTTCCCATATGTATATCAAGGACTGAAGCCTGACTAAAACCTTTCCTATGTTCTTTACATTCATAAGTCCTCTCTCCACTGTGAGTTCTTTTATGTTTAGTGGCGTGTGAGGAACTAAAGGCTTTCCCACAATCCTTCCATTCATAAGGCGTCAATCCACTGTGGGTTCTTATATGTGAAGTAAGATGGGAAGAACGAGTATTTTCCCACATTCCTTACATTCCTAAGGCCACTCTCCACTGTGTGTTCTAATATGTATAGCGAGTTCTGGGAAACAACTAAACGCTTTCCCACATTCCTCACATTCTTTTCTTAGGAAATTTTTTATTATAAAAAGAAGGATGAAAAACTAAAGGTTTTACAACATTTTTTACTGCATGCTTATGACCTCTCACATGTGTCCAAAAGGATAAGAAACTACAGAAATCTTTCCCACACTCATTACATTCATAGCGCTTCTCACCAGTGAGTGTTGTCACTGGATTCTTAAGGGTTGATGTACAAATTAAGTCTTTCCCACATACCTTACATTTATGGGGTTTCTCTCTATGAAGAATTCTCAAAGGAGTAGTTAGGTGAGAGGAAGAACTGCAGGATTCTCCACATTCCTTACACTGACAGGCACTGCATCTGGTGGAAGATCTGATATGATGGTTATATGAGTGACCCATGAAGACTTTTCCACACTCTGAGTGTTCAAAAGGATTTACTTCTGGAAGATTTCTTTTGAGCCCAGTAAGATCTGGAATCCAGCTGAAGGTTTTCCAACACTGAGAGCCCTCATTACTTTCACAGAGGTTCTCTACTGTATGACTTCTGTTAAAAATAAGGAACACATGGTGTTGGAAATAAATCTGTTCCCATTTCACCATTACCAAATGCAGTGAACATGCATGGTTTCTGCCCTGCCTTGTCTCATGTTTCCTAGATTAAATCATCTAGCAGAAATACTACCATTACCGTCACTAAATTTCTAAAATATGAAGCTTTCTGGTAATTGTGCCCAAATGAAATATGTTTCAAATACTATATATCTGACTCACGTATTTGAATACGCTTGCTGTATTATGAAAATTTCCTAAACACATACATTTCCACCTACGTTTACATACATAAACGTGTGTGTGTGTGTCTCTGTACACCTTCTCATTTATCGACACAGGTACGTTCCAAAGACCAGGTTGTTATACAAAACCGGCATTATGCAAAACTGGGAAATGACAACATCATTACATAACTGCCAAACTACAAATCATTACATAACTGACAAACCAGTGAGAATCATGGCCCAGTCAAGTTGACACACAATCTCAACCATCACATCCAGCATTGCTTACACCTCGCATCTCGGCCTTCGTTATTACCACACATCGTAAATAGTCAGATTTTTTAATTCAAACTGTTGGACAGAGACAGTCAAAACTGAGAAGAAGGTGTACGTATCACTATGTATCGAGGCTTCGAAACGGTTTGTAACAGTTCAGGAATTGCCAACATAAACGAAGGCAGCATACACACTGCATAGAAACCAAATCTGTTACCTGTCCAACATGAGTAGGAAAAAAAACAGTGGTGCCCTGCTCAAAGATGGCAGCCAACTGCATCACTCTAAATGTGTCTCTCTCCACAGTCCTGCGAATCATCCAATCTACCACATGGTTCCTGAAAGTTTCAGAAGCATGATGTGGGAAATTGATTGTTGGCAGGACCCTGGAGAGCAACACATATTCAAAGTGGCACAAATGGCTGCCATCTTTGAGTAGGGCACTGCTGTTTCCTACCTGGGTCAAAATCTCACAGGCAGCAGATGCGGTTCCTATGCAACACACAGGCTGCCCTCGTTTACGATGGCAATTACTCAACCGTTACAAACTGGCTGAAGATACTAATATATGTATGTAAGTATATATGTTTGTACTTTAATACCATAACACTTTAGGTTTCTCCTGAGGCACTGTTTTCTCTAGTTTGAATGACACTCACCTCAAATATCTCCCCTGGTTTTCATGGTGATCTACATTGCTGTGTAATTCACAGATTTCTAACACAGACAACCAGGTTTTATTCTCTAGATATTGCAGCATTATAGGTTCACTGGATAACTTTTCTCCATCATTAAGGTTTCGGGAGACTGACCCAAATATTCAAGTTGAGATTCACAACATGAAACAAAAAAGAAAGGAATCATTGGGGAAAAAACACTGCTGTGAACAAAGACTTAGCTACATTTCACTGTTTTAGCACATTCACATTGGTTAAAAAGCAATTCACTAAGAAATAATTCCATGAGGACTGAGCGTGATAGTGACATAAATAGGTGTAATCAGGAGAACTAAGAAGTAAGATATTGAACACAAGACACACGTAACATTAAAAGAAGAAAAGGGTCTCCATGACCACAGGTGAGAAAAATTGCTAAAATCAGAAAAGTAAGCTCTGGTATCTGTGAAGGTGTGTCCACAACTCAAAAGAGAATTTTTCTAGCTAATTCAAATGTAATTCCATCCACACAGGGCTGGTCCTTCCAAAAATTCTTGCTTTCCTGGTGCTTCCCAACACAGTGGTCCTGGACAGATCGTATCTCCACTGTCCTCAGATCTTTCCCTTGCTTCTCTGGGAAAACAAATGGGTACAGCTGACATGGCGCTCATAAACAAATGCCTATCATGAGGTAAAACATTGAAAAGCAGTAAACATTTCCTTAACACTGAAGCAACATTTTGATCCTCAGGGTCTCTGAAGATGGACAGGTGTGAGTTTATTTGCAGCAAAATAATCATGTCAAATTTGTAATAAACACAGTAAAAATCTCCACGAGGTCCCAAACCACACCTCTCAATGTCCCATAGTGACCCTGAAGCCAATGCTTACACTTACAACACTTAAGAGAGCCTCAGGGCTTTTAATCACAAGAGAAATGAAAACCTACTTTACTACATAGAGCTTTATGTTCATAGGAAAGCCAGGACATGTGAGCTCCACAGACCAAGGAACTATGCCTGTTTCATTTAAGAATTTATTCCCATTCTTCAGCCCAAATGCTCGAGCAAAGTCAATGAATAAAATATTTTTGTTTGTAAAGGAATAAACAACAAAAGATGCCATTCTTACCTACTGCGGCCAGGTTTCTGAAGGTTTCCACCATCACATCTCTGTAGAGTTTCCTCTCAGCAAGATCCAGCAAAGCCCACTCTTCCTGGCTAAAGTCCATGGCCACATCTTCAAAGACCACTGAGTCCTAAAACATCCCATACATTATGGATCGGCAAGGTACTATATACTCCAATGTGTACAAGAATCAAGGGTGGGGCTGACAGCCCTGGGGACCTGAGAATTCAAGGGATGTGACACAAAGTTCTGTGTTCTACCAAGGTTTACTCTTGGGTATAGCCATCAGCCTTGTCCCTTCACTAACTACATTCATTCTTCACTGATTGCATCCTGTCTCATACACTTTCAACAAACAGAAATGAGCTCTCTACAGTTTGTGACCCACTGCAGTCTTATTCCTCTCTCTTTATGGTCTAAAACAGTTGGAAAACAACAGAAATTAGAAAAATACTCTCATTCACATCGCTTCCTTGCAAAAAAACAATTACACCTCCTTCCATAAGACCCACCAGAACACTCAACAAAATATAAAACAAAGGATGAAGGCAAGATGAGGTATTAACAACTGGGAAACACTGCAGAATGGCAGTTTTTTCTTTTGCCACTCACAGCCACAGGAGGACCAAGAGCCCACACACACTGGCAACCCAAGACTCTACCTAGTCATTTTCTTGAACTCTAGATCAGAAGGTGACAAGTTTACCTTCTGAAAAAAGAATATTCTTTTGAAGAATTATGAGTTTTTACACGTCATCTACTTTTCAAAAACTTAATTGTTCTGTCATCTGTCCTTTTCAAAACAGGCAAAGGTAATAAAAGTTTAAAAGAGCTCAGATGAGACAGGAAACAGGAGAATCAAGATCGCCAAACAATTCTCAAATTTTGAGACTTGATGCAACTGTACACCAATTAAAAGTGACTGTTCCCTCAACAAACACATCCTCGCATAAACAAAGTCCGATGTTATATATAAAATAACAACACTACCTCTGCATAAAAAACAGCATGCCCTTGTGTTTGCTGACCGAGAAGAGATTACGATTTTCATTTTGAAATGACTGCACGATAAACATAATCAATGTCACCGAGTTATACGTGCAAACGCCATCGAATTAGCAAATGTTTCATTGCATGTAATTTCTACCCCCAAAGTAATTTTTTATGTAAGTTAATATATAGGAGATTTATCTATTAAATTGCCTGTGAAGCCTAGGAAACGGAGACACACGAGCCCTCTAGAGGCTCCACTCCAGAATTCTCTCACATCTGCAGCCCCTAAAAGTCATCCAACCATGACTACCTGAACCCTGACCACTCAAATCCCCTGGTAAGAGTGACTTCTGTGAAACAGCACTAATTTATTGCCTTCCTCGTGTCGTGAGGAAAGAAAAGGCTGCTAAAACAGAGCAGCTTTAGAGTAAAAAGATTCCTCAGGGAAGGGGTGAAGTGATCAGCGTATGTTATTTCTTATCAATCCTTGTAGGATGGGGTCACAACAAACTCTGAGCTAGAACCAAATCCAAATGTCTCCTCCAGTGCAGTGGGCCAGAATACATATTTGTAAGTCATCAAAACCCTATCATTCATTATACAATAATGATAAAATTTTCCATGTGTTGAGTAACTATGATTTATGGAAAGTTTTGCAGAACGATTTGCAACACACTAGCTCGTTTATATCTCGAGTCTCCTAAACAGGTATTATTTCAAACACTCAACACTGAGTAAAGTTAGAGACAATGACATGCTCAATGTTGCCCACATGGAATGTTGTTGAACCAGGGTCAGGAGGCAGGTCAATGTCTTTGAAGCCTAAACTCCTGAAAAATCCATTTCTGTTCATATGCATACAGTTTTGTTGTTATTCTGGATGTTATTCTCCAACACCACCACAAATGATCTAAAGCCCTGCTGGATACTAAGGAGAGGAGACAAAAGAAACATCCTATTCAAATCACACAACCGGAGCTACTACTCCTGCCAAAGCCCTGTGTCTGAGACAAAACTTCTTCCCTTCAGACTCTTAACTACGGATACCTTCATTTACTAAAATTCATTCAGTTAATATCAAGCGACAGCTTACTTCATGTTTGGAACGCAGACACAACAATAAACAAAACAGAAATATCCAGATGAACGTGTATCATAACTTGAGTGTGCATAAGTTTATACATATATACGTATTTAACCGGCAACACGTTCTACACAAAATGCAGCACAGTAAGGCGATAACCAACAAGTAACACAACCATATTTCTCTTTAGTAAATTAGTGCAGGAAGCAAAACAATCATTTTAGAAAATATTAGCCAGTGAAACCTGGCTTGCTAAGAGAAAAAAAACACAGCACTTTCAATTCTAAAAAACTGGAAGCAGACTATGATGATTCTGCAAACACTCATATATATTTCACATGCTCATCAACTTCAACAAATCCCAACGTGGAGGTACAGAAGCCAAAGGGCTCCACCAACCTTCATGCCTAGGAGAGGGAAGACACATTGCTTATATCCAGGAAGAAAAAGTTATTAGCAGTAGGCTAAACGTGAATTTGGGAGATGGGAAAAACAAAAGCAGCATAAACGAGTATTATAAAGAAAGAAACATGACAATAAAGACCAGAGTCATGACACAAAACACGAATGGAGGCTTCCACTTCCTGGTCCGATATATAAGGAGCTTGGAAGTTGTCAATTCCATCCTCACAATAAAAAATCTGAATATCCTAAACTCAGAAAATAAAAGTCACGAGGCAAACTGCTGCCCCAAAACTGGAGGGACACATAAGCAGCTACAGAGAATCATACCAGAGCTAAAACCTAGGAGCAGAAACCACCTCTAGGATCAGCATCAGCGTAGGAAAACTTAAAATGCAATTGATGAATTGCTGGAGGGTCGATGTGGACAAACTTCCGGGTTAAAAATGCCAGAGGGGTCCAAACTTAGGTGAATCTACAGAGTTTTGTTGAGTTTTACCTGCAAGAACCCTATCAGGTCCTCAGGGTCACCATCAGAGAAAAACTTCCTAGTGCTTCCCTCCAGTAGGGGGAAGAGGAAAAGCAGCCATCTCAAAAAATTCCCAGAGGATTCTGTTCTCCCTGACAACACCTCCCTCAAGGGAACCTACTTTACCAGAGTCTACCTGACCTGCAGTAGTGAAACACCCAACTCCAGCCTCATCTAGGCTTTCTGTCTCACCAAAGTGGGTGAGGGGAGAAGCAGAGGAGCACTTGTAGGCTAAGACTGAGAATCATTGGACTATCTCAGACTTCCCTTTTGTCGCCACCTTACCACTTCATCCATAGGGCTCATATAATAACAAGATTACAACAAAAGGAACTACAAGTCTCAGACCTGATTTTAGAAGTACCTAGGAAACCCAAAACACAACAGGTAAGAAAAAAACAAACACATCAAAGCAACCGACAACTACGGCAAACAGTAAACACAGCCTAGCATGTAGCCAGAAAAAAATAAAACCTCATAATAAAGGGCTATTTATTTATCTTATTTCCTTTTACTTAATACATAATCCCTGCCTTTCAACAAAAATCTACTAGGCATACTACAGACAAAAACATAGCTTGAAGAGACAGTGCAAACATCAAAATCAAAGATACAGCACACATTTTGTAATTACTGAGCCAAGCTTTCAGTTATTAACATAAAACAAATGCTCATAATAAAGTACAGAACATGTAACACCACGTGGGTAAAGTAAAAAAAAACCTGCAACAAGTATTTATAACAGTTTTATTCATAATTGCCAAAAGTTGGAGGCAACCAAGAGGCTCTTTAGTGGGTGAACAGATAAGCAAAGTGTGGTGCAACTATACACCGGACTACTACTCAGCAATAAAAAGAAATGAGCTATCAAAAGTCATGTAAAGTACTGGTGAGTAGCATTTGGGGTCTTAAAAGCTTGCAAGTGGCAATCTAAGATATAACTATCAGTCTGTGCTAGTCAGCAGCATAGGAAAGGGAAAAAAACTAAAGACCCAAGGGAGCGGTTAGTCCAAAGGACTAATGGACCTCATGAACCACAGCCTACATACACAACCCTAGATCAGAAGACCTAGATGGTGCCCGGCTACCACTGCCGACTGCTCTGACTGGGATTACAACAGAGGTTCACAAACAAGAGCGGGAGAAAAATACAGAATAATCAAATTCACAAAAAAGACCAGACTTACTGGTCTGACAGAGACTGGAGGAATCCCCAAGACTATGGCTCCTGTACATCCTTCTAGCTTGGACTTGAAGCCATTCCCGAAGCTCACCTTTCAACCAGAGATCAGGCAGGCTTTCAAGACGTACAATAACACACATGAAGAATGTGCCTGCTAGATCAAATATACGAGATCAAATGGGCAACACCTGCCCAGAAACAAAGACAAGAAGGTGGGAAGGGACAGGAAAACTGGACAAATGGACACGGGGAAGCCGGGATGGAAACAGGAAAGGGGGAGAGTGCTCACACAATGCAGGATTGCAGCCAATGCCATGAAACAATTTGTGTATAAATTTTTGAATGAGAAACTAATTTGCTCTGTAGACTTTCACCCAAAGCACAATTAAAAAAAAATACTTCTCAAATTTAGAAATGGAAACATGGATAACCTAAAAATGGGCATATACAAAACATATACCCCCCCCAAAGAATATACACAATGAAAAAGTCTACGTTTTGCTAGTAAAAGCAGGTAGAAAACTGATACTCATTATTCCATTCCGCTTCGACATCATCCTAAAGCTTGTATCTGGTACAGGTCAATAAGGAACAAGAGAAAAAAAAACTAAAGAAATAATAATGTTAAATGGGGAGGATCCCCATTTCATTTTATAAATAATTGTATATGTAGAACCCCAAAAGATGGTAAAGATGATTACAGGACTGATAAGATTTTAAACAAATATTCAGATTATGAAATAAATATCAAAGTTTAAAGATTTCATTTATATACAGTAGTACCAAGCATTTGAGCAATTAACTTCTAAAATACGTATTTTAGTAAAAATAAAAGATATCTAAAACAAATGTTATAAAGATCCTAACAAAAAAATGGTAAAACATTATTAAATAACACCCAAACAGGCAACAGTAAATAAAAAGGTAGCACATATTCTT